AAAAAAAATAGAAAAATAAATGGAAATTAAAAGCCTAGGCAAAATTGGGTTTAGGTCGGCCAGAACTTCTAACTTTTTTGAATTTTCCAAATTTTATTTACAAATTTTCTTCGATGATGAAGCAGGAAGTGGCTGTACCTAGATAGGGCCATATCTAACAATTCCTTCGGCTATTTCTATTCCAAAACTAGAAAGGATGCTCGACTGATAGAATGAGAGACTCCATGGTATGTCTTCCCAGAACTTCACTGACTGATTTTTGCAAATATCGGCTGTCCTCGTCTTGCACTTTCTTTTTGCAAAAGTCTGCAACATTTTCTTCGATCGTTTTTTTTCTGTGGTCGATTTTTTTCTTTCTTCTGTTTCTATGAAGGTCCACATTGACGTAGAGAGATCGTCAAACGCTTTAAGCTTCAGACGTCTCGCTAGAACATCAGGGTCTGCTTCTTTCTCGTCAGGCATTCCCTTCAAAAAAGTCTTCTCTTGTCTTGTTCCTGGATTTGGCTCTCTATGGTCTACGTGCTGGTCTCCTCCCTCTCCGTTCCATCTTTCATCGGCCCCTTGTTGCCACCACTCGGGAGATTTTCCGTTGTGATCAGGGGTAAATTCAGCTTCTTTATAGAGTGCCTCTGTGCCAATACCCAGGTGTGAGGTGGAGTAGCCGCATCGGAAGTAGCAACCTACCCAACCTTATCCAACCTGCCCCTCTTCTTCCACTGTTGTCTTCGGGCGTAACCTTGAATGGACTGGGTAAAAGGCACAGCTGAGAGCAAGCATTGAAGGGCCTGCTTAACTTCCTAACGTGGGAGCGGGCCAACTTTGTAAGATCGCTTTTATGTAAAATTTCTGAATCACCCCTTTCCGCTTTACGGTATTCCCGTGCCTCTGTAAGTTTTTGTAAGTGATTATGGCAGTTTTAACTGCAAAAGTAGATTAAATGATCGATATCGATTAATCTTAGCGGTGGAGCCTTTGCGGGGAAAACAAACAATTCCAGCAGAAAACAAACATAGCCACAATTTACATATCCTCTTCGCTTGAGGCCACATAATGCTGTCGTAGGTGAGCAAGTTGACGTGTCCATATGTTTCATTTACCCTTAAGTTCAATTTTTGAACCCCCTCTATCAGTTTATTAAAGCTTTTATCTCTGTGACATGGATTACTGTAATTTTTTTTGACTATTTTGTTAGCAGTAACCATTGGGATCCCGAATCTAAAGAAAAAAAAGCGGGAACTTCCTTAACTGTAAGTTTTCTTCCATCCTAATTGCTTACGGGCCATTTTCTCAACTTTGAGACCTTGGTACTTTTCCGGTGCCAGTTTCTGAAATCTTCCTTTCCTCGTCTACCCCATTGCTGTTTTCCTCCCTCTCGTTGCCTCCCGAACTCTTCATGAAGTAGCTGAATGTTTGGGAAATCGTTGACGTTTTCGCTTTGTTTTCTGGGTGGTTCCCCCTTCTCGAAGATAAACGTGTTTTCCCGGTCGTCGTCGTCTTGGTCGTTGTACAGGGGTAGGGACGGTCCTCATCGTAGACGTGTAGACCCCAAGTGATGAGCCCTCTCCAACGGTCACACTTACGTTCACATACACAACAGCTAGTAGTCAGTAGTCAGTCAACCTGCTTTTTTCTTGAACACAGGCAAAAGACCGACGGGGTCAGGTGGTCTTCTGGTTCTTTTCCCCTGACGGTAAACTCTTTGTCTGCTGTTTAGCCACAAGACTTTCATAGCCGCTTGAATCGTTCCGGGCTTATTTATGTCGAAGCGTAGCCATGTTCGTCTCCGCTTCTTCGCAACACCTTTTTTCCGTCCCCCCACGATTCTGTTCCTGGGTCGCCCTTTTTTATCGAATGGACCCAAGTTTATCAGTTTTCAGGGAGTTTCAATTGATTTTTCTAGAGAACGTCTGTATTTTGAACCTCCAGTTATCGTCCAAGGCAGGACTATCGTAGCACGAAATCTTTCGGTCATACGTCCAGGATAACGGGTATCTGGCAGAAAAATTTGAGGGAGACGAAGCGGCAGAAACCTTGGAAGGGAGGGAACCCTCTTATGTGGTGGTATAAGTGGACGCCTCCTTCTGGAATTCTTCTCCCCTCTCCCACTCCTTTTGGGTATGCAAATTTGCGTTCTGGTCAGTGAATATAGCCGGGAGTTTATCCTTTTGCCTTCTTTACATATGATCATCAGGTGGTACGGCTGAAGGAGGGGTGAGTATAAGGCGTCGTCGCTACCACATGCTCAGTCCAAGGTCATATGTCAGATCGAAGTTCGCTCGGGTTACCCGGGCACCCTATTCTTTGGGTGACAGTCATGTGGTTCCAGATTCGTTTGTGAGGACGAAATAATTGAATTCCGAGGCTTCTCCGAGTCACTGACATCAGCACGACAAGAAGTGCTCTCTCTTGTGGTGCGATGTCTGATAACACTACGACCCATGAGGCCATTACCTATCTCGAGATCTCCCACTTTAAACCCAAGTTGGTGCACCTTTTCCCATCAGGACTAGCTTGATTGAATGCAAACGTGATTTCTTCGCCTATACGACTGGTGTTTTTCATATTCCAATGCATGACGTATTGTTCTAGAACCCCCCTATCCGAAGTCCGGGTCGTTATCAGTTCCAAGAGGTGCGACCATATCAGAAGACTGGGTGCCTTTCACTTGGCTCTTTGGATGCATTCTCATCAAGATGCCTCCTTCCTTTACTAAATTATGTCACGTTAATTGTGATTCATCGAATTTATCTTATGATTTTTTAAATTTTTCATTTCACGCGGCATCCTTTGATATGGGCATTTTCACCTTTCCTTCTCCCATAAGACTATGGCCATCCATAGGCCATAGTGGTCGAAACATAGGGATAGCTGAAGTTAGGGCAGGTGTTTAATGGCTTTCAAAGACCAAAGGAAAATGGGGCTGACGTCTGGGAGGGAGAGGATGAGTAGGGATCATCATAAAAGTTTTGAAAAGTACATTACTGAATCCAGTGCTCTGTAATCCACAACAAAAAGGTCAAAGACTATGCTATGGGTAGTTAGTTGTCCTGAATGGGTAACCTCTTTAAGAGGTAGAGATCATCTAGCCATAAACAGCCGATAGCCCTGACATTCAGCCCCTTACAACACTTTAATGCCGAAGTAATACCTATTTTGTAAGTTATTTTATAAGTTGAATAACAATAGTAACGATATAGGACCCTGGTATCCTTGCAGTGGTATTAGCCCTTGGGGGATTTCTTAATCGATAATAAATAATGAAATCAATCAATAAGTAAAGGATAAGGGTTCAGAATGCAACGTCCTAGTGCTCCACAGTCAACCTCTCCCGCTTGGCTTGGGGATTGTGGTGGGGTATCAGCCCAACTCGCTTTCTTGGTCTCGATCTTGGTCCCGGATTACCCCTTCCCTTCAATCCTCTGAAGCCTTTTCGAGAAGCTTTCAGACGGTTCCTACAATATATCCGGGTGTTCGCTAAACAGGACAAACCGTAGCCGTTGGCTAGGGTGGAACGGCACAGCGGCGGCGGTCTTGGACAGCATGAATCGGTCGTGCGGCGTTTTCCAGAGAGAGAGAGAAAGAGAAAGCGCTGGTGTCTTACTCATCGAACACTTTGTGCTCACCGTCTGTGTATGCGTCAGAACGCGAACGACGTGCATCGTGTTAGGAAACGTCGTCTATCCAACAAACGAACCGACCTATGCCAGCCAGTATCACACAGGTGCCAGCTAGGCGTCTACTCCTTTGTAGTCTGCTGTCATTCTCGATCGTTCTAGAGAATCTCTATGCTGTTCCTAGCCGGTGTTCGCTTTGTGCCGTTTCGTAGTGTTGACCCTAGGCTAGTCCGACTCCTTTCTGGTTTCAGCTGGCACGTTCCCTTAGCTTGTTCCAGTGTCAAAGCCATTATTTTATTACACTTGCTTGATTACTGAAACAGCTGCTTCCCTGAAGGTGCGAAGACTTGCTATTCGTCAATCGTGTCTTTGGAATGCGCCATGGATTCGCTTTTCGTCCAGATCGAGGTTACAGGTGGATTA